GATTAATCAAAACATAGTGAATATTTTCTTCATCAACTAAAGAATATGGATAAGAAAACTAATTATTCAGAATACAGAAAATAAGTTCTAGACCCAAATCTAAAAGATAAATACTTATAGCCAAGGAAACAGAGCTATTAAGAAGCACTTCATAATCTATATGTGACCAAAATCAAGACAAAACAGAGGTTATAATGTGCAACCAGTGATCTAAATGAAATAAAATACAATTAATAATCAAATCAAGTGAGTTTAGATCTTCCCTGTTAAGTGAACTGGGATATTGTTCGTATCAATGGCAAGCTTTTGTCTTTCTGTGTTTGTCGGTCTCTAACATTTGAAAGTGAATGGTGGGCTATGAAACAGCCTTGTTGTGAAGCCATATATAATGAGAGTGAGTATTGCTTGCTCCTATTAGGGTTTTGGAAAATAAATAAAAGAAAGGGAAGAGAGAAAAGTATCACTTACCTAGAAAAATTGATTTTACCGTGGGTCCAATACAAGGTGTATCATATCCATATCTATGTCCATGGATACAGGATATGCCACAACTAGGTATGTATCCCACGCATCATGCATATTGGCAAGATACACCTCCTTATCAAGTGGTATCAGATACAACACGATACAGCCTGATATAAAAGCATATCAATACCTAGTTTGACAAAATTCTTTATTGACTGCTTTTGGATTGTTTTTGAACTTCAATAAAAATTGAAAACTATAATTATAAAAATAATTTAATAAGAACCAAAAGTTATAAAAATAATTTATTTTACCTACCTTAAATGATTTATATGTTTTATTTTACAACTATATGTAAAATAAAACAATTCTATGTTGACAATGAAAATATATTTATTATTTCAAAAAATAAGTTATTATTTGTATAAAAATATAAATAAATATTTTTTTTATTTTAATAAAAATTAAAAATTGTAAGTGATAATTTGTTCCATGATTTGTATTTTACACATGTCTTACAGTCTCGGTATTGTTGATTGGGATGTTTCTCTTCATATAACCTATTAAAGTGTGCATTTCTCATATGTTTATACTTAATACCTTATCTATAGATAATTCAGCTTTAGATTTGGTATTATTAATGTATTTATATGATTTATGTGTGTTTCTCTAGTGTATTAAAGTATTTTGATATCTTTCATTCATATCCATATGTTTCCAAAATGTATCCATATCTATGTTCATATCCAACCTGTATATGACCTGATACTAATACTTTGATCCTTCTTTCTTGCATGTGAATTATGAAAATGAGAGTTGTCTTCACTATTTGTACCAAGTAGAGTTTTCCTTTGAAGTCTTAAATTTTGAGGGGTCTTGGGGCTTTTTCCTATGCTTGCTTTCTCTCCCTCATTGTTACAATGATTTGGCATTTGGTAATGTAAATAGATGCTTTTTTGTGTCAGATTGGAATTTAATCAAAATGATACCCATCTTGAATTGCCATTGATCATCTAATGCCAATTCAATGGTATAAATGAATTATGAATCAATATTGTTTTGTATTTTTTCACTTTGACTTTTGCTCTATTCAACAAAAGTTGACACTAGCTTCATAGCTTGTCACTTGACAGTTAATGGAACTTGCCCTTCTTAGCTACAAACACCAGCATGCTAGACTCCGGGAGCCACGAACCATGAAAGCATGCATTGTAGTTTCTATTTGTGAGGGTTTTCATGTAATGGCTTTTGGATTTTCAAGGTAGGGCCCACAAGAAAAAGCTTAGAAGCTTTGTTTACTGATAATCCCCATAAAGTTGAAATTTGCTTTAATTGAGATATTCATTTGCATTGAATTCTGAACTCTGAATGCTTCTAAATTAAAATAATTGCTTTTGAAATCTAAATGTTAGAATTCTGAAAAGTGGCAATTAACTATTTTAACCCTGCATGTGAGAAACCTAGTTTGTTTTACTTTTAATAAATCAAATAAATAATTTATCAATTTAATAATACTAATAATAGATAATCATTATTTTTAATAACAAATATTTAATAATTAATAATTATTATATTATTAATAATATAATAATAATAATAATTACTATTGTTATTTTATAGTAATATAAAATAATTTATAAATAATGGAATTGATAACAAATTATAAATAATTAAATATTTATATAATTAAGAAATTATAATTAATTAATTATGTAAATAATTATTCATAATCATATTCATTATCTAGTTTATAATAATAATAATAATAATAATAATAATAGTAATAATTAATGATTTTTTAAAATAATTATTATTCATTATTTTGTAATTAATTACATAAATTAACAAATATGTACTCCATAATTAATTAATTACTTTTAATTAACAATATTAACAATTATTATTATTATTAATTAATAATTATGTATTCCATAATTAATTAATTAAAATAAAAAATTATTGAATAATTTAATTAATAATAAAGTAAGTGGAGTCATGAGAAGAAATGAGGGATTAGACATTAAGACTGAAATTCAAAAATGGAACCAAACACTATGATTGCCTTTGAAAATGCATGAATGCTTTTCCGCATTCAGCATTAAGAGGCAACGACCATGCACTTTTAAAGTATATTTTGGCTTTCTACATTTTTCATCAAACATGACTTCTAGGCTTTTCATGTGATATCGACCTTGTAATGCCAGAAGCCATTGCATAAACATCCTTCCCCTGGTGCCCATTTGGGAGGGATTTCAAGCAGTGAATTCTAGTATTCCAAGTGGGTCCCACATGGAAAGCCAGTACGTTATGTTTGGTGAAAATCCAAAAAGCTAAAATCAACTTTCAGAATGTAATTTTAACAATTGTAACATGAAGCTACTCCAATTAAGAAGCTTATCCATACCATACCCACTCAATTTGAGTGGCTTCTCTAGTTCTCGTATTTCCTCTGAAATTAGGAATGGCAATGGGGCAGCTTTAGGGTGGGGCACCCCCTCCCTATCTCTGCCCTATAGCCAAGATACCTTACCTCATCCCCACCCTGTGCCCAGTGGTGGGGCATCCAAGGCAACCACCTAAAAATGCATTTAATTTGGGGGTATTTAAAAATGAAATTATAGGATCCTAAGGTTTTGAAAATTGGAGGAAACTTATAGATATTTTAGAAATTAATATTAAGCCTAAAGGGATATTAGTAATTTACCATTAAGTTTGAATCAGATTAAAGGAATTATGTGCAAATCCCATACCCATTTAAGATCAGGGAAAACATGTCCCATTCAGGGTGGGGTGGGGCGGAGCCCCAGTTTTATGGGGGAAAATTGTCATCCCTATCTGAAATGCATAAGCCCTCCCAAATGGGGCCTTAATACCTTCTTCCAGGGGTTCAATCAATGCAATTCAATCAAAATTGAAGCCCTCCCAAAATGGCTTGCAATTATATAAATCGAATGCATAATACAGGATAGTAACACCCAATCAGAGATAAACACGTCATTAACATCCAACCAAATGTATGGAAACTGACATGGTTAATTTTGATTGAATGTTAATAGGACATGTTATAATCTTGTTTCTAGTGTAGATCAAGACTTGTGAAACAATGATTTTTCTTAAGGCTCAGTTTGGAAAGAGTATAAATACAAATATGTACAATGCAAATACATAGAAAATAATACAAAATATAAGGTTTTACACTCTACATATTTGCATTTGTACTCCTTCCAAACTAAGCCTAATGTTCATGAGTTAGAAGTTCAATCGGAATTGAACCGAAGGTTGAACCGTGATAATTTGGCATATATGTATATATAAGGTTTAAAATATTAATACATATGAGGCTTATCATATCGGTATTGGAAGGCTATGATATGTGGAGGTGCATCCTTCCAATCAGGTATCGGTCCAATATACAATACTCATGGATATGGAGGCGAGGGTGTATCAAAGAAGACACATATTAGAATCACTATAAAAAAAAGGAAGGTTGGTGTGATTTGAACCTAAGTCACCAATGCCCTAAGAGTTAGATGCATCCTTAACCACTAAACTACCATTCATTTTCTAATAACAAATGAAATACATAACTTTTACTCACTTTAATGTTCAAAATCAATTCAAATAATAATATATATTATATTCAACGACTCCAACTACAAATTAAAATCTCTCTCTCTCCATATACAGACATACATACATACATATATATATATATGTATATTCAAAATTAGTACTTTATAAACTAATAGAACAAATAATCTATCAAATCCACATTTATATCAAAAACTAATTTTAAAAATATTAATAATTGAATATTTATTTTTAATACTTAAAATTTATAAATTTGCACATTTTTTTCTGTATCCATGTGTTTCCAAAATGTATTTGCATCCAAGCTGTCTAACACGATACTCAATACCGATACTTTGATCCTTGCGTATATAAACTGAGTCATATAAATACTATATATAATTCTTTATAAAAAAATACTATATATTATTTTACAAATTTTATTATACTAAAATTTTATTATAAAAAAAATACTTGGCAAGTTCCTTAATTTTTAAAACATATTACCAAGTTCAAGTCTTTTAGTTTACATTTTCTTTAAAACGTGTTGTATAATAAAACAATACATACAATAAATAGTCATTAATTAACACAAATAAAAAAGCGGTCTAATGATAATTAAACAATACATAAAATAAGAGGTCATGAGTTCCTTTTGAAATTTCAACTATTTAATGACTTGGGTGGTTTCATAAAATTGAAACCGGTTCATCAGTTTTCTGATTAAATGGCTGATTAGTTGGTTTTCACTGGCCAGAGCCCTCCTGGGTCATGATTCAACCGGTCAGACCAGTCGATCAGGTCCAATTTCCTAAACAATGATTTTTCTGCAAATACACAGGTAATTTGATGTCTATAATTTTGGCATTACCCTTTATCAAGGAAAACAATCATTGTTTCTGGTCAGTTGATAAATAAAAATAAATATTGGTTCATTGTTTCGAACAAGAGCCACCATCAAAGAGTAGAAATGATTGTTCATACGGTTCACTAGAATTTACAGAAAAAAAGTTACATACAGATAAAGAGAAAGGGAAAAAGATGTGCAGTAATGCGTTTAGTAACATCGTCAAGATACAATGAAGCTAGGACAAAGGTGACTTAAGCACTAAAACCGATTTCACACCCACAAATAAATGAAAATGCATAAACAAGGCTTTAGAAATAAATCAAGGATTAAGGAATCTTACTGAATATACTTCTAGGTGGAAATCATATAAATAAATGTGCTTTAATACCATGGGAGGCCCAAACAAGCTTCATGGAAAAAGCTGATTATGAAACTGTTTTTCTTCCTCTACTCAAGCAGAACAAGATAGAAAAGAAATAGACTCGAGGATGCACTTGACATGGAGCATGGTAAATCATGTACAAACCACTACCCAATGCAATCTAGCACTAATCAGCTCGAGTTGTACCAGAGTGACGGTGGCGATGATGATGATGACCATGATGACTGTAGTTGCGTTTACTACTACTCCTATGATGCCTATCAGACTCAGAATTGTCAGATGAACCTGATTCAGGGTCACGCCGCTTTCGACTTTTATGATGCCTTCCATGATCAGTATTGTCAGATGAGCTTGAAATAGAACCCCGGCGTTTTCTACTTTCATTGTGTGTGTCTGAGTCGAAGTTGTCAGTTGAATCTGAGACAGAATGTCGACTTTTCCTTCTATCATGTCTATCAGACTCAGAGTTGACTGAAGAGCTTGTATCAGAATGATGTCTCTTCTTCCTATGTAACTTCTCTTTTGCTTTCTTTTTCTTTGATTTCTCCATGTCAGGATTGGGTGAGGATGACCAGTTCTTGGACTTGCTACCAGAAGCTGAAGAACGACTCTTGTGTTTGCCCTTCGTTTTAGAATGTTTCTTAGATTTGCTTGCTGAGAAGTTGGTCAGCAGGTCGGGGATATTTCCTCCACAGAGGAACCCTAAGAAGAACAAAATTTATGTGTAAAATATAGAATACAAGGATCACAGAAAAGGAAAAGTTCCAATTACTTAATAGTTTCTTACCCCCATATTCATCAAATATGTCTTCAGCAACTATCTGCTGGTTTGGGTCATCTGGCTTGAAGCCCCCTCGTGGAGGACTCATACCTGGTTTTTGTTTCAACTCCCACTTTAGAGGCTGCAGAGAGATCCATAGAGACAATATTAAGTTACCATCAAAGAACTTAATACCGAAAGTTTCAATGATGTTTTGTTGCATACCCTCCTGTCCTGATGCAAAATAACCAACACCTGCAGTGTAGTGCAAATACACCCCCCCCCTTCCCCCCTAACAAGAGTGCAACTGAAAATATCAAGCAAAAAGGGGCAATTTTAGGGCCATAAAGGTTCACTAGCATTCACAAAGTGCTATGAACAGCCTGGTATAATACGAATTTGTGCTAGCAGATCCATCAAAAAACTTATGCCAGAAGATGGTATCTGAAAATAGGGAAATAGGATCTGTTAAAAAACCTGTAGTGGACAAGAAGTTTTAACTAATAAACCTCAATCTAGCCCAAGGACGTAAGGCTTGATTGAAGAACAAATCATCTGAAAAAATCGACTCACTCAACTAGCTTGCATTAGTGCAGACCAAACAAAACTAAATGGCTGGAGAAACTGTTCCAGTTCAAAATGGGGACAGATCTGATACATTAACCATGGAGGCAGGCTTAACAGGTAAGCTGGTATAAGGGATGAGCAACCACATTAACCTCACAAAAAACTTACAATGGAGGCAGGCTGGACATGAAATCAATGCTCTATACTTCTTTAATAAACCTGATCGATCTTCTATTGTTTCTATAGCATGCATTAGCATCAATTATGCCCCAATTGAGCCAGTCTATTGAGGCTTTAATGAAAGGGCAAACTTCAACCATGTAGGAAGCAACAATTTTCATTTAAAAATTGCCATTCAAAAGAAAATAAATTTCATTTAAAATTTCATCAGAGCATGAAATAATATATCATTGACAACCTCAATACGATTTTCTCTAGAATGGTATATAAAACAAGATATGAATCTTTAATAAGGACAATAAGAAACTCAGAACCTATAGACCATGGAAGCGTGGATCTGGAAAAAGCCAAATCCCTCGGTGCTGATGAGAGCCTTCACACCGAGCTGCTTTTTTTGGGACAAGACGACTTGGATGTTTCAGTTTCAGCTCAGAATTGGGAAAATAAGTGGGTGGACTTGTTAACAAGGGCTCTACCTAGAGTCGCATCTGACCATTGCCCCATTAGCCTAGGACAGGAGCCTTTTAGGCAAGGACCTTGACCCTTTAGGTTTGAGAACATGTGGTTGACCCACCCGGACTTCGTGAAGAAGGTTGATGAGTGGAGAGAAGATCTAAGGGGGGTGAAGTGGAAAGGGGTAAGATTCCATAAAAAACTAAAAAGATTGAGAGCAGATGTAAAGGATTGGAATCGGGAGCATTTTGGGAGAATAGAAGAATTGAAATCCTCTCTATTGACCCAAATAGAGGAACTGGATGTGAAGGAATCCCAAAGAGCCTTCAGCCCTCAGGATAGAGATCGAAGATGGAATCTGAAAAGTGAGTTAAATGAAGTTATTTTGAGAGAAGATATTTCTTGGAGGCAGAAGTCTAGATGYAAGTGGATTAAGGAAGGAGATGGGAACACTAAATTTTTTCATGACCTAGCCAATGGAAGGAGAAGGAAAAACCTAGTTTCCAAACTGGAAGTGGATGAAACAGTCTCTGATACCCAAGAGAGGATAGCTACTTGTTTTGTTGACCATTTCAAATCCATCTTGAGGAGACCCCTAAGCCCTAGAGTGGAGTTGGAAGGTGTGACCTGGTAGAGGCTTCCAGAAGAGAGTAGAAGCTGGCTGGAAAGGAATTTTGAGGAGGAAGAAATTAGAAAAGTTGTCTTTTCCATGGACAGATCTAAAACTCCAGGACCAGATGGATTTACAATGGCTTTCTTTCAAGATTGTTGGGACATAGTCAAAGAAGATTTATTTGAGGTCTTCAAGGAATTTGAGAATAATCAAGTGATGAATTGGGAAATTAATGCTACTTTTCTAGCCTTAATTCCGAAAAAGAAAGAAGCCAAGCATCCAAAGGACTTTAGACCTATCAGTTTGGTGACTAGTGTTTACAAGATTGTGGCAAAAGTTTATCTTTGAGGATAAAACAGGTGCTTCCTTGTCTTATTAGCCAAGCGCAAGGAGCTTTTGTTCAAGGGAGACAAATTGTAGATCAGATTCTAATAGCAAATGAATGTGTGGAGGAGATGAGGAGATCGGGGCATAAAGGTTATGCTTGTAAACTTGACCTTGAAAGGCCTATGACTTAGTGGATTGGGGATTCTTATCACTTGTGCTAAGGAAGTGTGGGTATGGGGATAAGTGGTGAATGGATAAACGGTTGCCTCTCTAGTTGCCATTATTCCATCCTAGTTAACAAGGTAGTTGTTGATTTTTTCCTAGCTAGTAGGGGTCTTAGACAAGGTGATCCCATGCCATCTTTCCTTTTCACCTTAGTTGCTGATGCTTTTAGTAGACTCCTTTCAGAAGCAGATAGAGCCAGATCTCTAAGAGGGTGGAGAATAGGTAGAGATAGAGTGTCAGTAACCCATATCCAATTTGCAGATGACATAATAATCTTTTGCGAAGGTTGTGATTTGACAAATGTAAGGAATCTGGAGGACTTAATAATTCACTTTGAGAGGGCCTCGAATTTGAAGGTAAATTTTGAGAAGACTTGTGTTGTGGGGGTTAATTTGAACAGGAGGAGGTGGAGTCTATAGCAGCCTTGTTAGAATGCACTTGCTCTCAGTGGCCTCTATCCTACCTAGGACTTTTGAAGAGAGTAGACCTTGAGAGTTCGGCAATGAGGGTTTGAGAGTGAGAGTTTCGAACCATACTCTCTCTCAGCCCCCTAACACTGTTTTATTAAGATAGATTTGAATAATTACAATGAGGCCCTTAGTTGGGCAAGAAATTACAAAGAACATAATATAGACAGGATGGGCCCAGAATAAGGCCCATTACAGAAAAACATAAATAATAAGAAAAGAATAAATAGCCTATGGAGCATTCGGCCCATCTTCTCTACACTCCCCCTCAAGCTGATCATAGATGTCAATCATTCCAAGCTTGCTAGTATCATGCTGAAGTTTTGCCTTGGGAATGCCTTTGGTGAGAAAATCTGCCAATTGTCCTTCAGATGTAATGAAAGGAAGACATACTTCACCCGAAGAGACCCTTTCCCTAATGAARTGTCGATCAACTTCAATATGCTTAGTTCTATCATGTTGCACTAGGTTGTGAGCAATGTTAATGGCARCYTGATTATCACAGTACAACATCATTGGCTTGTCATGTTCAACCCCAAGTTCCTCCATCAATGATTTTAGCCATAATAATTCAGAAACTCCATGTGCCATGGCCCTGTATTCTGCTTCAGCGGAAGACCGAGCAACAACCAATTGTTTCTTGCTTCTCCAAGAAACAACATTACCAGCCACCAAGCTGCAATACCCAGAAGTAGATCTTCTGTCATCAATGTTTCCGACCCAATCAGAATCGGTGTAGGCTTCAAGTTTCATATGACCATGCTTGGCAAATAGAATTCCCTTTCCTGGGGAGCCCTTCAAATAACATAGGATTCGCTCTGCTGCTGCCATATGAGTGTCTCGGGGAGCATGCATGAATTGGCTAATGCAACTGACTGCATATGCAATATCTGGCCGAGTCATGCATAGGTACAAAAGTTTCCAAGAAGTCTCTGAAAAATTCCTTTGTCTTCTAACAATGTCCCATCTAAGGCAGAAAGTTTATGACTCATATCAATAGGAGTAGCAACTGGTCTAGCACCCATCTTTCCAGTTTCAGAGAGCAAGTCAAGAACATACTWCCTTTGGGAGATAAGAATCCCATCCTTGGATCGAGCCAAATCTTTAATCTCAATTCTCCCAAATCTTTAATCTCAAACTCTGTATGGAGAAAAGATTTTAGATCATGAATTCCTGAAACATCATTACCAGTCACTACAATATCATCTAC